TTTTCAGGGACGTCCCAAGGGAGTCACTCCCAAGTACAGTTTGAAGCCTCTTGTGCCAAGGCTGTCTGAGCTCCTTGGAGTTGAGGTTTGTATTTTATTAACAAAACAGTTTTGCTCCTAGGAATTTTCATGGGAAGTTCTATTTGCTCATCTTTTTTATTTTCTATTTTCCTCTGTTACAGGTTAAGATTGCCAATGACTGTATAGGCGAGGAAGTTGAAAAATTGGTTGCTCAACTTCCAGAGGGAGGAGTTTTGCTCCTTGAGAATGTTAGGTTCTACAAGGAGGAAGAGAAGAATGACCCTGAATTTTCCAAGAAGCTTGCTTCACTTGCAGATGTTTATGTGAATGATGCTTTTGGTACTGCTCATAGGGCTCATGCATCAACTGAAGGAGTGGCTAAGTTCTTAAAGCCTTCCGTTGCTGGATTCCTTATGCAGAAGGTATGCCGGTTGTAACTGACAATTGCACCTAGTTAAATTTCAAATTCTTCACTGCCCTACTTTTCATTGAAGTGATTCCCACTAAGAATATGATGGTCACAAAATGTTTCACGTCTGGATCCTTGAAATTGTTGAGGGAAGAACAGTTTTCTTGTCATGATAAACACATCTTTTATTTTTGTGTTGATCTTAGGCCTAGCAGAGATTTTTTTTTTTTCTTTCAGTAATATTCTTCCTATCAGTGAATTGACCCCTAGGATTGAACAGGTGTCAATGGTTTTGCAGTTTTTGTTTGCCTTTTTATTTGCTAAACTAATTTGAGTTAACCTTTGAAAATTACTTATGAAAAAGTTCCATGAATTTTTGTTTTTCAGGGACGTCCCAAGGGAGTCACTCCCAAGTACAGTTTGAAGCCTCTTGTGCCAAGGCTGTCTGAGCTCCTTGGAGTTGAGGTTTGTATTTTATTAACAAAACAGTTTTGCTCCTAGGAATTTTCATGGGAAGTTCTATTTGCTCATCTTTTTTATTTTCTATTTTCCTCTGTTACAGGTTAAGATTGCCAATGACTGTATAGGCGAGGAAGTTGAAAAATTGGTTGCTCAACTTCCAGAGGGAGGAGTTTTGCTCCTTGAGAATGTTAGGTTCTACAAGGAGGAAGAGAAGAATGACCCTGAATTTTCCAAGAAGCTTGCTTCACTTGCAGATGTTTATGTGAATGATGCTTTTGGTACTGCTCATAGGGCTCATGCATCAACTGAAGGAGTGGCTAAGTTCTTAAAGCCTTCCGTTGCTGGATTCCTTATGCAGAAGGTATGCCGGTTGTAACTGACAATTGCACCTAGTTAAATTTCAAATTCTTCACTGCCCTACTTTTCATTGAAGTGATTCCCACTAAGAATATGATGGTCACAAAATGTTTCACATCTGGATCCTTGAAATTGTTGAGGGAAGAACAGTTTTCTTGTCATGATAAACACATCTTTTGTTTTTGTGTTGATCTCAGGAACTCGACTATCTTGTCGGTGCTGTGGGAGATCCTAAGAGGCCATTTGCTGCTATTGTTGGTGGTTCAAAGGTGTCATCCAAGATTGGAGTGATAGAATCCTTGTTGGAGAAGGTTAACATTCTCTTGCTAGGTGGAGGAATGATCTTTACTTTCTACAAGGCCCAAGGTTATTCAGTTGGATCATCCCTTGTGGAGGAAGACAAGCTTGATCTTGCAAAATCACTTCTTGAGAAGGCCAAGGCTAAGGGGGTTTCAATTCTGCTCCCAACTGATGTAATCATTGCTGACAAGTTTGCAGCTGATGCGAACAGCAAGGTCAGTGGTTACTTTCTGTTTGTTTAGTAATCCTGTGGGAAATGGTGAAATTCTCGAGTTCACAAAAGATTATATTTGCCTGCAGGTTGTGCCAGCGTCTGCTATTCCAGATGGTTGGATGGGATTGGATATCGGACCAGACTCGATCAAAACTTTCAGTGAAGCTCTGGATATCACTCAAACCATTATTTGGAATGGACCTATGGGTGTTTTTGAGTTTGAAAAGTTTGCTGCTGGGACTGAGGTACTTAATGAACTATATTTCTGCTGAATTATCAAGCATCTATTACCTATTAACCTAATTCATAGAAGACTCTATACTCTGTTCAGTCCTATTCGTTGATTTGAATTAGATTATTTGTCCTCTTTTTTGCCCATTTGTGGTACATGACATGAGACTGGGTTTTGTGTTAACTCAGATCTGTGTGTAACTGTTTTTCCATCCAATTGGTTTCTTTCAAGTCACTCTTGAGAAGATTTTTATCATAAATGCTGAAAGCCCTGTGATATTTCATTAAAAAATGTTGTTCCTTCTGGGTCATATAATAAATTGCAGATTCTTAGTCTTTTTCTAAAGTAATCTTTTGGATACTATTCAATTACCCTCTCCAAAGTAATTGCTTCTACTGCCACTGATCTAATTCTTTTCTTGTTAACAGGCAATAGCTAAGAAGCTTGCAGAGCTCAGTGACAAGGGGGTGACAACAATCATTGGAGGTGGTGACTCAGTTGCAGCTGTTGAGAAGGTTGGGCTTGCTGAGAAGATGAGCCACATCTCGACTGGAGGTGGTGCAAGCTTAGAGCTTCTCGAAGGGAAAACACTCCCCGGAGTCCTCGCCCTTGACGATGCTTGAGCTGAATTTTTTTCTCAGTTTTCGTGCATTTTGTCGGTTGTTAGATGGGTTGGTTTTTCAACCAGAATGGTTCAAGTATATCAGAGCTGATCATGTAGAGGCTATATAGGGTAGAGATTTGAATAAGTGCTCTCTTGAGGTTTAACCATTTTAATGTGCATTGCTTTGTTTGGATATATTTTTGGAACAAATGTTAATGATCCCAAAGTGCTTTTCTGAGCTCAATATCAGTGACATGGAATGTGATGTTTTTGGAATGCATGAATGTTGTTGATCCTTATAAAATGACATGGGATGGATATTATCTTGATATGTGTGATGGGCTGCACAATCTTGATATTGTGGGACATGGGTTTGGGACAACTATTTGGAGGGGTCCATCTTGAGATGTTGAATGGGCCTCATTTCGATTAAACTGAATTTTTTTATTGCGAAAGAGGAACTCATTGATTACAATTGAGAGGATACAACAATCTCATCTTTTACTATTGACTCCAGCCAGAGGGGAACCTTTGATTAAACTGAATTTTCGTTCTATTAAACTGAATTTGAAT